GAAGAATCTGGCTGTGTCTGATGCCCACGCGGCAGGTTCGCGGGTGGCAGAGTGTGAGACGGCATCCAGTGGCGGCTGATTTGGACTATAAGTGGGCTGTAGGTTCTACCGAATAGACAGTTTTTGGTCATTCATTTTGGATACCCTGAGGTGGTGTTACCCACCAACCTGGCAGTACGGTCGCCGCTGTAAATGTCAGAACCCACAGTTGTATTACGAACTGGTTAATGTTATTCTGCGTTAATTATGGCCTCACCAACCCCTGCAACGTTGACGAAGGCGTAAAATAGTGCACGGGATGAGTGCATAGAGACGTCTATCCTCGAAGCTTCGTACCACTGTACGAAAGCATGCCGCCAGGAATTGCTATGAAGCATCAATTTGCGTCGAACCGAAGCGTGGTTGGCCTCTTATGTGGGTCGGAGAACCCATGGTTTGCGGGCTCTGATTGGAAATTCAAGGCAAATGGCGCCGTTGGCAGGTGGTATTTTTATGGGTGACTTAACCTTAAAGAGGCAGTACGTAATTTAAAACGGTGGCTGTTACCTGCTTTATGACCATAGGCACTATTTAGACTTATGTTTCTTTGGATTACAAATTACTAGGAAGCATTTACAGATGCTGGTGGAGTTTCGCACTTTCTGTTTTCAAATCCTGCAACCCCTGAGGAAATTTTACTTTTCGCCTTCGCCATACCCTCTGGCTGTGAATGCTGTGAACTCGTTTTCAATTGCCTCATTGCCTTCTTGACAGTGACCACGCTTTTTCATTTTTACTATATCCATCCCCCCATGCAGGCGACTAACCCCTCCGTCTTCCTTAAGCGTTTACCACGTTTATCTTACCGCCTTTTATATTTCTGGAAATTAGTGCTCTGGAAAGATCAGAAAGAAGTCTTAGACGGAATGACAGAGTGCATTATATTAACTACTGCGCTTAACCGTCCTGACTCTTCTGATGATGCTGCATCTAATCGCTCTGCTGATTTGCCTCTCCTCCTACATTTTTAACTTGGAAGTTTTGGAATTTCATGTTTTTCAATGTGCGCTTGTACCTTACTAAAAGTGAAACTGAGATCTTGTTTGGTTTAGTGAGGTAGAAACCAGATTTTGTCTTCCGCTGCGCACAGTAAGCCGTTGAGATATCGCGCTATCATTTTCACGGATTCATTCTATTTCAGATTTTACATGCAAGCATATCTAAATATATTTCACGCATTTTTCATTAGTTCGCGGGTTTGTATGGACAATGGGCCTTTCTCTTTTTGATACATGTTTCCGCAGTTGGTATGCCCAGTTTATCTCATTCGCGGGACGCTATTGGCGATATTTTGGTTAGAATACATATTATTGAATTGTATTTAAAACCGTATTATATACTAAATAAAACTCCTCTGTGACATATGATACATGAATTTGCTCTTACCAATATAAGCAGTACGTACACAATTTTAACGAAACCCGATGAATATCTAGCAGGATATAAATAGTTTATGCTGTATAAATGTGTGAAAATTTTCGTAAGAATGTGAGAAGGTTTAAGAGGGCTTAAAATATTTAAAGATAGCCACAAAATCATCTGGTTTCCATTTTTTAGATTTCACGGGGACTCTGGAACGTAACCCGCGCGACCTAGGAGGGTTCACTGTATTTCAATCCTTCTGCTTCCCATATCTGCAACTGGATATGTTCGGCACAAAACCCTCTTCGTGGTAATATTTATTGCGGGTTTTGTAGTCAAAAAATCAGTTAACAGACTGCTTCACTGTTTTCCCTCCCATCAGGCGTACTAATTCTTAGGTCACTTGTCCCACGTTCTCGTAGGCTATTCTTAGGTTTGGCAGAGTTATTAGAGTAATTTGGAGCATTTGTATTAGACGTATTCTCTTCGCATCTACTTGTCCTCTGATGCTAATACATTTTTCTACAATGCGGTCAAGAGGACTCCATGGTCTGAACTTCATTTTTCCTAACTGCGTCTACCAAAAGCGCTAAATTACTGAGTAAATCCGAACATCCCTTCTACTGGTGATGCTAAATTGCTTTTCCATCGAATTCATACACTTACTCACTTACAGCGCCGTATAGTGGACAAATGTGCGCAGATTTGGAAACGTCGACGACCGAATCCATGACAGCAGGGGGAGGCTTTAGTTCCGCCTCCGAGTTTTTCACAGATGGGTTGAAATGAACAATGAAAAATCGTTTTCTTGTAGTTGGCGTGCGTATGTAACTGCAATATTCTGCCAAAAATTAACTTAAAATGGGAAGCACAAAATTTGTTTAGCGGCTTCATGTATTTCTTTATAATGGAGTCTATGAAGTTCTAGAAGTTTACTCAACGTTTTGGGGGTTTTGTCCTAAAAACTTCATTATCCGCCAAACAATGTGTAATATTTCTAAAGGAAGGCTTAATTCCTTTTTTAAGAAATTCGATCAAACCTGCCTAATCTGTCTCATTAACCTCCCTCGTCACCATTCCTTTGCCTGCTACCCATTTCGCAACGTGACCTTGAAGAGGACGACACTGTCTCTAGGCTGTTTTCGTCCTCGTGTTCTGTTTTAGTGAGGCCTAAAAGTAGGTGTGCCACTTCAGATACGACTGGCTAATTGGGCACTGCACTTGCCTCTGCATCATACACTGAGTGACCGATCTCCTGAAATGTTGGCTGAACTTCTGAAATACGATTTCGATTAGGAAGGATTACTTAGGCACGGTTGTAATACTGATAATCTTACGACAAAATCCTATAATGTAAATGCTGATATTTCGGGGGTGCGACTCAGACCCAGTTGTGGTGTACGTCGTGCATACTGGGACCCCTGCGACCCTCCCCCCATTGTTGTTGTCAGTTAGAGACCTGGTCATTTGCTATGTGCGCCAGGGGATGTGGAGTGGACCGCCAAGGTGCGGACTCGACCGTGCCATCCACCTGCGCCGTCCCCGCCGCCGATCTTTTTGACTCTGTCTTGACACGGGGCGCAGGGGGGGGGGGAGGAGGATAGAGTGCGATAGATTCTGCGAAAGTCTACATTCACCATAAACTTAATCACGCGCAAGTCACCGTGATTGCTTCACCTTACTGTGGGGCTCACGGTGGACAGCATCGGATGCGAAGGTCGAACTGCGGTGTGTGTGTGTGTGTGCCTCCAGACCCAGTAGCTCTTCAAATAATTTTCATCCTCCCTTCCATACCTGCGGATTAGGCGATACGCAATTTCACAGGCGGCTGGGCTGACTCAGGCCTTCTTCCCACTAAACTAAATTCGGGGCAAATAGCAGCCGCCTGGGTTGCCTAGGCAGATCCATTCAGGTGTGGCATCATTTACTCACTCGCGCTTCGGGCCTAGAAAATGTGCTCGGAAGAACTGCTGGCAAAATACGCGGTTGGCAAGTTAACTGTAGCTTGTGGACACAAAAAAATACGATCGGAACAGTAAAACAAATCCTGTCCCCATCAACGTGCCTCCCCAGATGCTGCGAGGCTGTCCTATGAGGGCATAAGTGCGCATTAGGACGCAACTTGAGATGCTGCTTTAGTGGCACTTATTAGGACTAAAGCCATGTGAAATAAACCCACGTCACTATGTTTAAAGGAGCTAAAGGATCCAACAAGGAGGACCATGATCCCAGTGTCCACGCTTATGGGGTTTGATCCAAGATTCCGACGGAAAAACTGGCATATATACTTTTTGGCTTACTGAACTTTTGCCAACAAGAATTTGCTTGGTAAATCACTGCTTAATCACATGCATTTAGCACTTCACGACTAGGTCTTCTAAGAAGAAAGGGAGACGGATTAAACGGAACGCTGCAAGAAGATTGAAAACAAATTCCAAAATCATCCAAAAGCGATGAAATGTACGGTGTCCACAGCACTAGTAGTTATGCTATTTCATCGAGGCTTTAAATATAAACATGGAGTTAGAAAAGTTTTGTTTTTTCGGCGTTTGGGGTTTACAGCAGCAATTTCACGCGATAAATTCATATAAAGTCGTTAAATGGTTATTAAGTCTCCTAGGATGGTTAACCGAATCCGGAGATCATTTACTTTATGAAGAGTGTACATCAAGGGAATATGCCGCCCATCTACCGTCAACTTCAGTTCTCTGATGTTTCGTCCATTTCTGTAAACGTTCTGAAGATAAATTAAATTGTGTTCATCTATGGGCACAAAAAGTTGTCGCAAAACGCAATATGTTACTGTAACACATGCGATCCGAAGTGCAAGCTCAGTGCACACCACGAGTCTCGACGTGTCCCGACTTTTTTAAGAAGTGAAATTCGTGACCGGTAGCGGTCGGTATGGACAGCAAACCTTAAAACAGAACCCAGATAATGGCATGCGCAATCTCTTTTATCCATAAGTGCACCGCCCCTGCGATGATCGACCTTGGACATATAAGATAATTCACTCGTCTCGTAATGTATTTCCATGACTCAGCAAGGGAAGAAATTAATGTTTTGGCCTCCTGGGTGTCAGCGGTAGTTCATAGTCATAGTCCTATTATGTTCTTACATTCGGCCCTTAACTCATTCCTTGTATGTCAGTTGCTGCAATCAGGTTTTATTCCTCGGTCGTAACTCGCCGGACGTGAATTTACCCAAGCAACAAGCTCTACTAACCGACTTCAGCTCGAAACTTTCTGGACTTTACCTAGTGCATTCTTCAGGCTGCAACAATTGGCACTAACGAAAGCTTAATTTTTCGCTACTTTAAGAATGTTCGCATTTCCTCAGTATCCTGATCATGTTGAGGCAACTGCAACTGCGATGGAACGGCTATCTGGTGCGAGTTATCGACGATCGGCCACCAAAACAGTTCTTCTACGGAGATGTCGCCACGGGGTACTGGCCGGCGGGGATAATCAAAGAGACGCTATGATGACACTCTGAAGACTTCCCTGAAACGCCTGAAGATCAGCCCGGCTAACTGGGAGGACCCCACCCGGGACCAAACGGCCCGGAGGAGGACAGTGTAGGCGGGAGCAGCGATCTAAATGCAGACCGAAATGAACGCCGCCAAAACCAAGAGCAAAGCTCAAAAATCTCAGCCGTCCCTGACTTGCAACGCCAACACTCAACCGCCCCCAATATGCCCTCTGTGTCAACGAACGTTCCTTGAACAAATCAGGCCTAGTGGATATCTTTGCCCCAACTGCTACACCCGGAAGACACCACCTGATGCCTCCCCGTCCACCTTTGCCAGGCAACCCACGTCGATAATCAAGTATAACTGTGCTCCGGATTCCTCGTCACACTACCCCGCTTCTACTGCAGTGACTCCTGTCCCCATCAGCACTGCACACAATCCTGACGCACCGTCAAACCTCATCCTCCCCACTGCCAACATCAGTGATGTGGACTCAGTCCATAAATGCCGCCGTTGCAATCGCACATTCACCTCACACATCGGTCTGGTCCGCCGCTTGCGAATCCATTACACACAAACTGGTGAACCGCTGTCCCGGACACCCACATGCACTCGCCGCATCCGCCTCCAGTGTCCGCTCTGTCTCCGCACATTCGCTGACTACATGGGCCTACTTCGTCACATGCGTATCCACGGTAGCGGGATTCACCACAGTCTCTACATGCCTCGCGCACCCACATGACTGCCTCAATCCACACCCCATCGCCCAGCACGCCTATCGCCAGCAGCTCCGTCACCAGTACCACTGAAACCGATGCCGATGCATCCCGCCTATCCTGCTCACATGATCCACGTCCGCTTAGTCGGTCGCTTGCGAATTCATCGTACAGAGGCCGGCGAACTAGTATATAGAACACTATCGTATATTCATCACAGCCACCTCAACTGCCATCACTACCTCCGCACATTCGGCCACCTCATGCACCTACTAGGCCATATGCGCATTCATGGAAGTCTGCGGTAGACAACCGCCAGCCATGCCACACCCTCACGCCTGCACCACACAACAACACCCATCACCACACAACGCAATTACTCAAATGACATCTTTCACTTAAGTGGAAAGTATGCCTCTGAGCTCCTTCTCCATATGACTCCTCCGCTGCATGTGTGATCCGATCCTGAGACTGTTACAGTGCATCAGTCGCCGTGGCCTGGAAGTCTTCCGACTGACGCCTCAACGCAGTCCACGCAGTCTGCCCAGTTGTACGTGTGTTTGTGTGGAGTTGTGGACTGGTGGACTGAGGTTCAGATCGCCAAAGTTCCTTCTTGACGCGAACTCTGGCAGTTTCACGCATGTGAGGTGTGTGTGTGTGAGTGTGTGTGTGTGTGTGTGTAAATGCGTAGCGCCTCTCAGTCGATGAATGACTGGTTGTCCGACCTTTGAAGAGTGATGGCCCAGGCCAAAAACAGAGTTGCGTCCCACCCTTCTGGGTTTTAAGATTTGTATGCGTCTGCTATGTCCAGATTAAGTTAACCATGACTCTCGCAGCCTGGTGTGCAGTGGCAGTTCTCTAGCACCTGGTTCCCTGTCGGTAGAGGCGCTTGCGCTTCCGCTGGGTACACAGGCTTTGTGCATGTTTACCCAGTCATCCTCCTCTTTGTCACCCTTTATATTGTTGTAGCTGATTAAAGACCCGGTCAAGTGTTTGTTGAGGACCAGAGGGTGTGGTGGTGCGGCTAGTTCCAGGTCCGACTGTGCGAGCCACCTGCGCCCTCTCCCGTCCCCGGTCTTCTTGACTATGTCTTGACACCGGATCCAGGTGGGGGAGAAGGAGGAGGGGTTGCAGTAGATGCTGCGCAAGTCCATTCTTATTATGAACTAATTCATGCCCTAGTCAGCGTGCCTGCCTAACCTTTCTGTGGAGCACACGGTGGACATCATCGGGCACGACGGTCGAAATGTCATATTAAGCAATGCTTGTGATAGCGTGCCGTGCAAAAAACAGCTGTTTGCAGGGGTTGTGCAAACTTCATACTTATGCAACAATGCATTGTGTCATAATGGTCGTATTTTCTTCAAATTGATATTAAGACAGAATGCCAGGGAAACAAAACTCAGCATATGCTTTTGGGTGTACGTTCTGAATATGCTTGCAGATGTCTTTAAAATATTGCAGTTAATTCAGGAAAAGCGAACATACTTAGCGAGCCATATCAAGACCTCCGAGATCACTCTTTTCTTTTAATTTGGAAATCGATGTTTTCGAAGACCTGTTGAGCCCGTTTTTTTCATGCCTGTATTAACCAACATTCCGATACGCGTTACTGAATTAGGAAATAAATGGACGAGTTAGGGCGTTTCAATTCACCCCGGCAGAAAGTACTCAAATTTTCCCCGAAATATATTATAGAATGATCTTCTTCTATACAAATGTTGTAGCAGAGAAAAACCGGGGGTGCAGCTTTTTAGGCTGCAGTATTGCATCTCCGCCCATTTCATGAGTGACGATTCCAGTCTGCGATAAGTTTTAACTAGGACTAACCCGTGCGGGTTGCTTCTCTTTTTGCCGACCTGCCCCAAGATTACATACGTTTGCCTGCTTTCATGTGCCTTTCCTTCCTCCGTTGAAATAATTCATCACGTTACCCGACTATGAAAATTATTTTAACATTCCCAAGGGTTGTATTTAGCATTAACCAAAATGTGGTAGATCACAGTTATTTATTCAAAAACCAAAGGTGATGGACTGATAAAGGGGGGGAGGGGGGTTTGGAGGCGGTAGCTTCGATTTTATAAGAAACTTTTTCAGTCTACTTCAAACGAAGACTTCTATGATTGCATTTTACATAAAAGTGAGCATCTAGCACTTTCCGGCCTCAGGCTTTGATCTCTCACTATCAAAAATCAAATGAAAACCGACTGTTCTAGAACAGCTATAATGCAATGAGGAAATGTGCTCCTTGATTAAAACACTTGGTTTTACTGGGCGACTATGAGGAAGTCGTTTGTTTGAAAAAAGTACCATAAACTAATTCACGCTAAGTCACCGTGCCTGCTGAACCTTGCCGTGTAGCACACGGTGGACATCGTCGGAATTGACGGTCGAACGGAAATGACATTTGATTGGCAAAAGAACAGAATGCACGAATAATACTAAATAATTTAATGATGAATTGTCCATTGTTGCTCGTGTTAAGTTAACTACTGCACAAGTATTATAAACATTCACAAATGAACTTGAAGTAACTTCAAAAATTAGGAATAACTTGGACTTAAGATTTATCTGCTTACTAAAAATGGGTGTTTTAGAAGAAATTCATTTTTCGGCAATTTAAACCAAGCAATTCCGTGCCGACGAAACGAAGAATCTAAGCATCCAGATAAACAAATCCTGAGAAATCTCAGGGCCGAGCGGGCGATTACGCCCAACGACTGGTTCTCCATGAAGCCTACTGACACCGCCACGGATCGTTTTTAAAGTCTACCGAGGGTACACAAGGCCAGAGGATAAGAGTCGAACAATTGTACCTTCAGAACCTATTTGCGGCCAATGGTTGTCCCAGAAGTTTCATCGAGAAAAGTAGACGTCGGGCGCACATACGACGGCCAAATGAGCAGCAACCCGAAGTCTGGAGGGCCACTCCCTACGTTAAAGGGGTCTCTGGGGCGGTCTCTCGACTGCTACAACCCACCAGAGAAGACATAGCCCATCGACCCCAGGCGACAATTTGACGCCGTCTGATGCAACCTAAGGACCTATTGCCACCCTCTGAAACCTCAGCAATAATCTACAAAATAAATTTCCATTAGGGCGACTGCAAATATGTGGGAGAAACTGTACGGCAATTGCAGACTCGCCTACAAGAACACAAATCGGCCACTCGGAAGTTAGACCCAAACTCTCAACTAGCAACACATGCTGGAGAAACTGGGCAAACTTCGATCGCCAGAGAGCTACCAGCTTGGGCCGGGGCAACACAAAAAGAGAACGACTAACTCTCGAGGCGTGGTACTCCGATGCCCACTCCACCAACAGGCATCTGGACCTTCCTGCGTCTTACGAAGTCCTACGTCATCACGTCCGTAGAGCTCGGGACCGCGCTGAACTTAAGAAAGCCATACATTGACAGGACTACGGGGAGTGTACTCGGCGTGGAAGAAGAAGAATCGCCAGACCGGACCGATGAGGGCTCAATCACATCCTCCCGACAAGGTGGAGACTCACAAAGCACGCAGACAAAACGCCCGTCAAACATCCCCCGAGAGGGCGGGGTGGCGAGAGGAGCGAAAAATCTATCAGCATGAGGCCGACCAACGTGACATGCCATTTGGGGTTTCTGGTCGATTAAGTGCATTTTACGGTTGGACAATGGAGAGCCGACCAAGCTCTTCAAAACGTCAGCATTTAAATAAACCCGTCCCGGTGAGCCCATCTTTTTCTGCAAACTTAAACCAAGTTTACTTCCACCCGACTTTGATGTGATCCAGAAAAATTAGAAGTAGCAATAAAGCAGTGAAAAAGTATAATATACTACGAAGATGGCGGCCTTGTTCGGTGCTTCTCACTCAAATTGAAAATCACCATACCATTGTCAACTGAATCTTTTGCGGACAGTTGAATTAGTAAAAAGGATGTCTAGTGTTTTGCGTTTGTAGTTCAGATTTTATATGCAGGGGGATAAGAGTAAAAATCAAAGGTAGCTGTGCCTGTCATTAATGAAATTTGAGCGATGGAAGAATTTGATCTTCTCTCCCAAGCAAAAATTTTAGTTTACAGTCAGTCGTTGCTCCATGTGGTCACAAGTCTTCTGCAGAGTCATTTTAGGGCAAATATGCACTTTTGCTAACACGGGCAGTAAGAAGAAAGTCATGACTTACTTGAAACATGATTTTTTTTATATGCACTGAAAAATACAGTTGATGATCTGGGTCGGGGGATAACTTGGAATGACTCAACTTTCCGCTATATTTAACAAAATACTTCGCGTTGACATAATGGTGCTCAAACAGCTCGCCGCCGTTATAAGTGCCTTAGGCTTTTCCGAAATGCTGGTGAGACCATAAAATATATGAAGAAGTTTACGGCATTATTGATGTAATAGAATTCGTGGTGAAAATAATAAAACGGATTTCGGTTCTCCGATGCGGATGCTGCTGACTGCTCTGTCGGGGACCAGTTGCCGAAATGAAAAACTAAAACTGGCAGAAGTGTTAGGTAGAAAACGAGCGTGGCGATAAAGAGGGTAAGCGCCGTTTGCAGAGAGCGTGAGGTCCCACTCAGACCATAATTGATCTTCGTTTCTCTCTTCTTGGAACTTTCCGGCCTCCACTTCTTCCGTCGGACATCCTGATCGCGAACGGCCAAGAAAACGCATAAATAAAGTCCGCAGATAACAGGGATGGATAGGAGCGTGAGAAGCAAGTAAATGCGATCCTTGTATATTCTAAGAAATGCTGTAGGATCTCTGTCGCGGCCTTGAACGAAACGCATGAGATGTCCAGTAAAGACACATAGTTCAATGCAACCGACGCAGAAGGTAATAATGATAATTGGTATCCAAATAATTACCTGGCCTTGCCTTCGCTCTCCAAATACAAATGCACTATTTTCGGTCCGTTGATCTGGACTCGGCTGCGCATTTATGACGGAAATGTTCTGACTCTGGTTTTCTAATTCAGCGGTTATGTCCTCTGTATGGGAAGTTTCTACAGCGTTCAAACTATCCGCTTCGACAAAC